GATTAGTTGCAAGTAACTCTTGTTGTTGAAAAATTACATCAGTAAATACTTAAATATGTGAATAAACTAATACGAGGAAATAAAGTATCGTTTTTCTTTCGTCACATATATGTATGTATATTCCCTGAACATACCATGGACATTCAGTGTATCAACTCTGACAGATTCCTGGGACATACATGAAATGTTCATAATGTAACTCATGTGTGTCCCACGAATATGCATGGACATCAAATGAATGTTCCAGGTATATTCTGAGAATATCATTTTGCTATGTGGGTTTCTCTCTGCCCCCTGAGCTCAAAACTCTTATTAAAAATCGTAACCGGCTAAAACAAAGGGCTAAACAATTCACCGACGCAGAGCTTAACAAACAGGCAAACAAACTAAGCAAGGAAATTAAAATTCAGATCTCAAACCTAAGAAACGAAAGGTGGACAGAACTTTTGGAAAACCTCTCAACTGGCGCCCCGCGCGCCTGGAGAATCTCCAAGGCTATGCGAGAAAAAACAAAAACGCACTTTCCCCCTATACATGGTGAGCGAAGGGTGGTCTATTTGGACGAAGAAAAAGCTGAAGCTGAAGAACATTTCCGAAAACGACGAGATTTCGAGGAGGAGGTGGACAACGTCCTCAGCGAAATCGACGAAATTGAGAAACAAATCCCCCCTGACGCCCCTGCAATTCCCCCCGTAACACTCCCCGAGCTTAACGCCCTAATCGCCACCCTTAAAACCCGCACAAATCCCGACCAAATAACCAACAAAATCCTCAAACGACTCCCGGAAAACATCCTCAATCACATCCTCACCCTCATCAATGCGTCCTTTTCGCTACGACGAATTATCAGAGCGAATTTTCATATACTGTATTATCCTACTATTGTTACACAATTTATTAACATACTATTTCTTAGGTTCATTTAGGTTCTTTTGATAACGATAGCAGAAAATAGCTATCGCAACGTCAAGGTAATTTTTCAAATTAATTTCTTTTCTAATTGGAATTTTCACTTACAGCTTGAGCCTAAGTGTGTCGCAGGATACCCTCTAGGTGATAGTTTTTGATTACTTTTTGATAAATAATTCGTTTTTATTGCGAATTAGGAGCACTATTTATCAGTCTGTAATAGAAGGCGTGAGGAAATTCTGTCTTTTTTAAAGACAACAATTTTTGAGCCGAAATACCCAACAAAAAGTTGAAAGAAGAAAAGCACCTAAACTCACAAACTCTTCCTAATTTAAAACCAAACGCCACAAACCACTACCTTTCTCGTCTCGTTCTCTTACTTTTTTTCTTTTCTTTCGTTCGTTTCATACTACTATTCTTCGCTCTTAGTCCCACAAACGCCCGAAACCCACACCCCCAACCCACCAAGGCTCTTGCAGGCTTGCAGCAAAGACAAAAAGCCTTGAATGGCAACGTTTGTTAAAAACATCAAGTCACGGCGTTTTTGGGTACCTTCGCAGATGCTTCTCAAGCTGCTGTTCTGCAAACACTCCTCATTGTCCCAGGTTGGGTGCACCTTCCGACACTCCTCATAGAAAGTGTTGCAGATATGATTGCTGGAGTATGTAGTGTAGCTGTCGCTGATCGCCGTCGCCAATGAATAGTGCGGAACCAGTAGCAACACCCAATGAAGAGCGTTTCCTACGTACTCCAAGTCCAATCCAGGAGTACTCAGCACTTGCACTATGAGGAAAGCGGCGCAACCTGAACACAGATTTTTTACTATAGAAAATGGGGAATTTGATGAGGAGGCGAGTAGATACCGGTGAATATGCTGAAGAGAGTCATTCTGGTGTAGCCGGTTGAGGGGACCTCGAATAAGAAGCCGGCAATGTAGTGCATCGGCAACATGGACCATCCGAAGCAGACGAAAATGAGCACCAACCGTTCTGAAAACAAGTAGAGCCAAATGGCAATTTTGCCCAATTCTTCAATCTGCGAAAAGTATCGGGGGTTTTGTGCAGGTTTTGAGAGTTTTCTGAGTTTCCTGCATACATCCCTTCTAACATGACGCTGCTTTTTTAGAAGTTTCTCAAGAACCATTCGAGCCACAGAATTTCCACAAAAAGCGAAATTTTAATATCAGACACTTTCGTGCAAGAATGCATATTCCATGTTTTCCGTCCCATTTTTGCTCATTTCTCGGAGCCAAAATGAGCAAGAACGCTCATTTGTACATCGTTCTAGACAGAAATACATGGCCTTTTTAGAAAGTGAACCATGGATGGAAAAATGCTGGCAGGTTTCTCAAAAAATGCTTGAATTCAAGAAGTTTTAGATTTGCGGCATCGTTGGATAGAGAATTGAATGGGGGGATCCGCCCTTAATAGAAGGACAGTCAAGTGGTGCAAATATCAATTAATTGCAATCAAAGTCTGCTTCACTCACCTATATCTGCAGCAGTAGTAAATCCATCCTCTTGAAAGCAGATCAAGACGATCAAGAGGACAGCGATTGTGACTAGGTAGGTTAAAAAGTCCCAAAACAGTGTGGTCAGCCAGAAAACGGCTACTTTAACTCCTGATACGAACTGAAGATGCTTGGACTTGCTGACACGTTCTCGAATGATGAAAAGCACATAAAACGAAGACACAAACGCCATGCTGAAGCACATGTTGAAGGAGAGCTGGAATCCCATGCTGTTGCCTATTGCCAGTTGATTGAGCTAGAAAAGACAAAGAGAAGCTTTTGCTTGGAGAAACTTCCTAAGCTTAAAACTAATGGGTTTTTAGGCCGTCGTTCGGTAGAATTTATTCCTGACGTTTCGCAAGCACGAGTGGCTTGCATCTTCAGAAGTGGTTTGCTTGAACGCTTA